TGGCGGCCTTTTCCGCCCAAACGTCGGGATTTTCCGGCAGTACCGGAAGTGGAAACGGTAACTTCCGGCGCGTGGGCGACCAGCCTGAATTAACCGTTTCCTTGGAAACCGAGCTAGTGTGCGCTGCAGTGGGCGTTGCTTTGGTTGTTGTTACCGGGAGAGATTGTTTTCCCCGCGACTGTTCCATTTTGCTCGGTTAACAGTGGAAGGCCTAGAGGAGAGGCGAACGGTTTTTTGAACAGATCAAGTTCTTGAGTTTGCGATTTTGGTCAATTCTAAAATCTAGTGCTTGTGAAGATTTTTGCCCTTTCAAGAACATTATTACAAGAGCCTCAAAGCTTTTCGTTTCCTACTGGCCGAAACATGAATCTGTGGAAAGGCTGAGTTTTGGTAAACGAAATATTTGAAGTAAAAAGGGAGCATTTGCTTGCAAGAACTGTTTTTGAAGCACTGTACTCTAGGCAGAAGAAATGTAAATGAAAACTCCGAATTAGACCAACTATTAATTGCAAATTTTGGTAGTGACGACTACAGTAGGTGAAGTCCTAGGACAAATGATTTACTTGACCTAATCATAAAATCCGATCTTCATTAAAAAAACAAAACAAACAAGCAAACAAACAAAAAACAAGAAACAGAATCAAAACCCTGACAGTGAAATAACTGGCTTGTTCAAACTCCCCTAGCTGGGGCTGGCTACAAACTTCAGGAACCACTGCATAAATTATGGCGTCCAGTGCAAAGTAGAAATGCAAGACAACCCGACCCCCGCTTTTAAAAAAAAAAAAGCAGGAAAGTGTTTACTGCATTGTGTCTCTACTTATAATAATAATAGTAATAGTAATAATAACTACTCCAAACCCAAATCAAACCAAACAACCTCCACAACTACCATGATTCCTTCTTCTCAGTTTTCTTAATTGCAACGTTTCAGAGGTGCTATATGGACCCCCTAAAAGTGTCTGCGATTTCTGTTTGATACTTAAGAGTACTTGTGTTTGAGCATGGTGGCAATATTGAAGGAGAAAGACAGAGAAATCATCTGGTCAGACTGGATAGGGCAGGACAGCACATGAACTGAATGTAGCAGAACAAAGGGTCTGAAAACACACTCAACAGGGACTCAGTTTTCCCTGTCATCAGTTCAAAATTTCTCAGATCCCAGTGCATTGCTTTGCTTGGGCTGATTTAACAAAATCTCAGAGACTAGGAAGATTACATGACAGAAATCTATGGTCAAAAACGTGTGTAATCCAGAAGTCTAGATGATGTTGCCATCAGCATTGGTCTCTGTTCTCTCCATTGCAGATGTCTGACCTCTAATATGGCTTGTATTCTGTGCGCATGTGCAGTGGTTTTTAGTGTCTCTTAATGACCCCAGTCTTACTGCAATAGGATTGCCTTAATTACTCCCACAAATGTTTTCTCTAAATTACATTGCACTAAGGATTAAAGAGAACATATGGATGGAGAGCAGATCAAGCCAAGGTTCAGTTCAGAAGGCACACTTCTAGATTCACCTCAAGGTAACCTTGCCTTTAGCCCTTATTTTGTCAATTCTACCATTTCCCTCAACTTGAAAGTAGAAGTCATGTTTGCAAACTCATATAAAGCTAGATATTTAACATCAGAAAAGGATAAAAACTAGACACACATCTGTAGGCAGTTTTTTTTTTTTTGCCCAAAATTGTGAAGGTAATTAAGTGGAGAGAATAGAAAGATCTGAATGAAACACTTGTATTCCACCATTCTAAAACTAAAGATACAGCATACACCAAAAGGTAAAACTTTAAACTTTAAAAAAAAAATAACATAGGCCACAAACCTTATGACCTTGTATTATGCAATGATTGCTGATATATCAAAAACATAATGGAATCTACACAGAAATATATTGATGAATTCAGTCTCACAGTGTTTGCTTTCCAAAGCACACCATAAGGGGAAGAAGGGAAGCACATGTGGGGAGAAGAATTTTGCAAATTACGTAATGACTTCACTCGTCAGCATCTTCTGCTATAAGCACAAGTTCTGTGGTAGAAACTCTTGGCTATTAGTACTCTATGGAGAGATGACTCAGTAGGTCACTTTCAGACACACCTTCTTTCACTTCATAACCAAATCAATATCTGAGTTGACGAATATGTCAAAATTAAATGGAGGAAACAGTCAGGCCAGCATGTTTCAACAACTATAAACTAGAACTATAATGGTATTTTAGTAAACTCCAATTTATAATGGTATATAGTGATTCATGAAGATAAATCCTTTAAGTACTGTTACACAGTTTACACCCATGAGAGGAGACATCACCACCACATGGTATGAACCGACAGCTTATGAATCCTCATATCCAAGACTCATGAAGAAACTTCATCCTTGCTAAACTTTTCAGATTTCAGTGGAATTAAACATTCTACTCCAACTTTCAAATTTCATCTAAAAACATTCAACTTTCAGTTGACCTTCCTGAGGTCCATTGACAGATTACCATACCATGCTCACTTGCCTGTATTTTAATTGCATACATGTTAAGATAGAAGAAATCCTGCCAGTTAGAAGGCCTGTTTCATTCAGTGGCCAGAGTAGGTCTATCTGGGCAATCTCAGGAAGAGACTACACAAACCAGGAGTTATTAAAATTAGTGTTTAACAGAGAGAAAAATGATGCAGTTGCTTCAGAGGAGGGGAAATTTGTTATGAAACCTCCATAAGTTCCTAACTCAAAAGGAAACTCTCTAGAGTAGGTGACAAAATGGCTACCTATAAGTCAATTGACAGACCAAAAAAGTGGGCCTAGATTTGTCAACTGGTAGATTTATAATCTAAAATGGTTTTCCAATATGATAGGATGCTTAGCTTACTTTATACACAACAAAAAAAGTATTATATAGCCTTAGAGAAATTATTTCTCTACAAACCGTCAGGGTTATAATCTGCTTGTATTCAAGAAACATTACAAAAAGGGAATCTGGAATAAATGGCTGGTGCTGTCCATTTCCAGGCTCCTTCTAGATAGTAACTCTTATGTCAGCCATGAAAGAGCCCTTGGTCCTCCTGCTAATTACAGTTGGCTTTTACAACATTGCTACATTAACCAAAAAGTAATCTCGATCTGGGTACCATTAAGCTGATGATTATTAGATCCAAGAATAAACAAGTACCCACCACAGAGTCAAGGATCTGATTGTAGATGAAAGACTCCCCAAGAGGAGACCCAGAAACGATGTGACCCCAAAGACACTCCTGAGACTGTCTTGCTGCAATCACATGAGTCAGGTGATTTATTATCGAAGCTTTGGGCCGATATGTGCCTCATGCAGGAGGCAGAGAAATCGATGCTGAGACCTAATAGCTTAAGATTAATAAAGGCAAAGGCCAGGGGGAGGGAAGGGGTGAGAGGGGAAGGGGAGGAAGGGGGTTGCGGTGCAGTCACACACAATTGGTTGTTTCAAACATCTGTAATGTGTGTAAGCAGATCTCACGAGAACTGTCCCTGGTTTCTGTGGCCTTAGAACCTAGTGTGAATGTTTATCTGAGCCAGCTTACGACCTGGCAGAATTTAATTTGCAAGTCCTTGGGACCTTCAGTGGGAGTTTTTCCAGAGAAGGCTAAAACATCACAGGAACAGATGGATGTTTCAATAATGTTCTCGTTCTTAAGGAATTTACCCTTGAGCACTTTCCCTATCTCTCACAGCTGGTGGATCTTTGGAGCACTCAATTGACCTTTGTTTCCCTGCATCTTTTGTGACAGCCTTGGGTTAGCAAGTTAGCTGACTTGTTGTTGTTGTTTTGTTTTGTTTTGTTTTTTTTCAGGGTTTTTTCAGAGACAGGGTTTCTCTGTGTAGCCCTGGCTGTCCTGGAACTCACTCTGTAGACCAGGCTAGCCTCGAACTCTGGAACTCAGAAATCCGCCTGCCTCTGCCTCCCAAGTGCTGGGATTAAAGGCGTGCACCACCACCGCCCGGCTTTTTTTTTTTTTTTTTTGACTTGTTATTCTATTCCTAACTATTTGTATTAGTGAATTAAGACTTTCTGTTATACTGCTTAACTAACTTAAAATTCCTTTTTCAGTAGACAATTCCAAGAGGGAATGTATTGCCCAAAATTAACCTGTAAGTGCCACCAGCCCAAGTACTAGGTAACTTCTTGGAATGCTGGGAGTTGTAGTTCTTGGAAAATAAGGTCTCACAGGAAAATACTGTGGCCTTTGGGTTTGCCTTTGTAAATTGTTACAACACATGTCTCGCGGTCATTTTAGACTTAGAAATTTCAGAGAATGGTCTTGAACAAAGTCCTTCCTTTGGTCAGTATTTAATATTTAATGAACTTGTTTTATATTTGGCCAAAGTGGTGAAATTGGTTTTTCTCTCATGAATCTTAGGACTAACAAAGTCATTCTAAAACAAATAATGGGGCAAGTGGAACTGGACCACCAAATAGAAAAACTGGTAAGGTTGGGCAGATTAAGGAACCCAGGCAATTCTCATAACTGAGAATGATGGGGTGTTTGAATCTGCTCCTGACCAGATTCCTGTCCTGGTACATGTGCCCAGAACACCAAATAAGATGACCATGACAACTGTTCAGTAGCATAGAGCTCAGAGTTCTCCATGCTAATGAGATATCTAGATGGGCCCACAGGTTTAGCCAATAAGTTTCCTTTCCCAGACACTCCTTCCTACAAAAGGTATTTAATCTCTGGTCCACCCTGAATATGTCGTATGCATCTTTTCCACCATGAGTAAATGGTTTGGATAAGCAAGGACTGTCTCCTTCCTTAAGACTCCTGTGGGCGAAAGCTTCAATCATACAGAGCCATGTCTCTGTCTACTCCTGAAGACCTCTCCACAATCCTGGAACTCACTCTGAGCTAAACTGAATTCCCTAACAGCCCTGCCTCCGGGCTTATCTCAGGTCCTCAGCCCCAGTTTTCTTTTTTCTTTTCTTTTTTTTTTTAGTTTATATTATCAGTATTTATTTTGTTATAAAAGCTTTA